GCTTCAGTTTCCTTCTCTTTTCGAGCAACTCCTTAGTGATGATGCAGATGCGATCCGATCTTCTTGCTTGAGGAACTGAAATGAACAGGATTTAATTAAACTTCGCTGCACTTTGCACTCAGGTCGGCTGCTTTGTAGTACTATCTGTGCAGTTCAATATTTCATTTTCTCCCATCCCATTTATACTTTACTATTGTTTTTGTTCATTTTCAAGTTGCAGTTTTATTCTTCGACACAAATCGGGGCTCCTCATCTACCAGTCTTCCATTTCTTGGTTTTAATGAATGAACTTGTGATTGATATTAATCTTTGATTTCTCACACTGATTAAAAATGCTGTGTAATATGTTAAGGGTGTTTATGACGTCACCGATTTTGTTGCATCACATCCTGGCGGAGACAAGATATTATTGGCTGCCGGCGGTTCGGTTGAACCCTTTTGGGCATTATATGCACAACACAAAACGAAAGAGGTAATGCTTGGGGTACTCTTTATATTTCTTCGCCTATGTTTAAATATTAAACGATGGAGGTTATGGAGATACTGGAAGAGCTTCGCATTGGTAATTTGGACCCAAAAGAAGTGGAGACACCGAAGCAGGTTAGTTTTTAATAAGCCCTTAACTGTTCAAAATGCTGTGATCCTGCTTACGTCTATGTTTGCATGGATATTCTATGTATCTCAAAATTTTCGCGCTTATTGCTAATCCAAACCTTGGATTTTAAGTGGACAGTTTTCTTCTTTACCAAAATTGCTTATTTAAGGTCAAGTGTTTACTGAAAAGTAGATAGATTTTGCTTTCGCATAGCAAAATTATAATGATGATTGGATATTAGGTTTTTGCAAAGCTCCCATGTACACAGGAACTTATTAAATCCGCTTGAGGTTCATTCTCTCCATGCTTTTCCCACCTATTTTGTCACAGGATGGTTTTTTTAATTATAACATATCCTGATTCACGTCGAAGTATTACTCAAACAAGTATTTCTGCATATAAGTTCTGAACTCAGATGGACTTGTCGGATCCTTTTTCCACGGACCCAGAGCGACATCCCGCCCTGATTGTCAACCAGCAGCGTCCATTCAATGCTGAAACTCCTCCAGCCCTAATCATGGATCATTTTCGTACTCCGAATGATCTGTTTTTTGTTCGAAACCATATGCCAGTTCCAAAGGTCTCGTGATTTTTTTCTTTGTTTCTGTTGTTTATATGTAACCTTTTCGTGCCGTTTCAGAGGATAAATAATTTCGCAAAAATATGAAGGTAGATGTAGTGGTCCTCCTAACGAATTGCCGCCTCATCGTGCCTGAGAGGTGTTCTTTGGTGTCGAACTGCGATGTACAGCGGGAGGATTCGTTCCCTCGGCAAGTTCTCCCAAGCTGAGAAGGAGTCCGGCGTTTCCATCAAGAAGCCTAGCTAAGAGTAAACCAATACCAGAACCCACTACCGTCCTGGTATCAAAGTCGCACGGTGGCAAATTTCCCTCTGATCCACATGATCTCTACAACTGCCTGTGGTGGTGAAGACCTGGTGCAGACTTTGACCAGGCTGACCTCGGAATTCCATGGAACCACAGTGGCTTAGCCAGCAAATCTCCAAAAATGGAGATTATGCTGGGCCCGTACAACCAGTGAGAACGGACCATTCAAGTGTCAAATGTCAAGATGTAGTGGTGCGTATCCAGGTTTACAACAAAAATCAGCAACCCTTGTGGATCAAAGGGAGCTTTGCTCCTTTGTGATATAAAGCAGTTTTGGACGGCCGAAAATGTTGTAAAACCTGAATGATCTTAGTTTATTATGCGTCTAATTTCTGTTCTCAAATGGCAAAAAGGCAGGAGATGTAGCGCAATGGCTAAAGAGGCCCTATGTCTTTGTGGGCATTACGTCGATTTCGTGCCGAAGGCTGACTAGGTCCACTCATCTTCCATCCCTTCGAGGTTGGCAATTGTATGTCAGGTTTGTCAGGAAAAATATGAACGGTGGATCGATGCGTCACTTGGCTCCGCAGGTATATATGAATATATATAAAATATGCAATAGATGACTTTTATTATTTCTAATGAAGGCGAATATGTAGCGCAGCTCCAAGAGATTAGTCAATGCCGAGTGCTTTATCCTTCCATCATCTGTCGTCTATAATACCATGGAGGGTTAGCAAAGTGGTTAGTGTTGCAGTCCATTAGTAACCAAGGCCGTGATGTGACCCCTTCCTCAACGCTGTTCCAGAATCTACGTGAGAAGGATCTGGCTCTGCATCTCCGACATTTCAAAGAGAATCGACTTGACAGCCATTATGCGGCATTCATGAAGAGCACGAAATCTGAAGCAGCAGCTGAAACGGCACGTGAAATGTTTGAAGATCTTTGGAGACGGTGAATGCGAAGAAAATGAATATATGGAGTACTGGGCTCACACAGTAGATATGACGACGCGTCATGTGAATAGAAATGTTCGAGTATTCGAGTATCATAGATTGATAAGGGAAAGACTGTTACAAAGACTTTTCAACTATTCACGTTATCGCAAAACTATCCAGATTAATCGAAAAGCAACCTCCGTCGAGAGTACGTTAACTTGGCTGATCTTGGATTCGTATGTTCAGTACTAAAGCTTGTAGTATAAATACGAATTATTTTTTTTCTTACCATACCTCCTTAGTCGTTTCAGTTTCGAAATTTCTGCCTATTGTTTTTCTTTCTTGGTTTTCAACGCAGTGGTTTCTATTACAGATAGATGTTAAAGCGCACAGACTCACTATCGAAGGGTTAGGTATTAATCGACCGCTGAAGTTGTCAGTTGACCAGCTGAAAAATAATTATCGTCCTGCATCAGTTACCTCTGTGGTGCAGTGCGCCGGAAATCGACGAGCAGACATGAATGAGTGAGCTAAATGTGCTTCATTTTCTATTGTTAGTGCTCAACGTTCCAATGCGTATGATTGTTATTAATGACCTGTATCACCTTTCTTCGTGATTATCAGGTGTCATAGGCGACTATCGCGAAATACGATGACATGTCCCGCTCGTCTTATTTTCATTTTCTGACTTCTTTAATTGATTTATACTGGAGTGACCTGCGTACTCAAGGGGAGTTCTCAAAACGTCAAAACAGTTTCCATTTGCTTGGTAATCTGCTCATCGGGAAAAATTTCCCTTTCTTGGGATTTCGATATAGCAGTGCTAGGACGTTTTGAATTCGTCATCTCAGGAAGCCACTAGCTTTTGTAAATCGGAAGGTTGCTAGCTTACGGGCTAGTTATAGCTAGTATGAATTTACTTTTTAGCATTTGTTTGCTCGTAGCTTTCAGCTGTTACCATTTTACTCCTCAGATGTGGAGACCTTGCTAGCAAATTGTAGTACTTGCTCTACAGTTAAGAACATCGTACAGCCACAATAGAACAACAAGACACTATGGCTTTGCGAGCTCGGAATATACTCACTTTTTTCTGTCTTTTGATTTCGTCACAATTCTTTGAATAGTACGTTGGCTAGCATCCTTTGCATTTACCTCCAGTTACTTAGCGTGCATGTCTATCAACATTTGATCGGTCACGTACTCTGTAGAGAAGTGGTACCATTCGAAAATAATGATTGATTTTCTAGAACATCACGTGACTATCTTGTGTCCTCTTTTGCATGAAAACTTCTATATTAAAGCAATTGAGCCAGTAATATTTAGTCCAGAATCATCTAAACTCTTCCACAATGTATCGTTTACGTTTATAGCTGCTGCGCCTTCGTTGGAAATTTTAAAATGTTAAAGTATAGCAACAGTTTCTCAAAAGTTTCATTTCTAAACGCATTTGGGTAGGGAGTTTATTATATAAAAATTTTATATGTAATTAATCCAGTGGGAGAAGTCTTCCATAAATCTTTCGAAACCGACCTTCCCTAAACCTCGGTGTGATTAATCAATATGTATTCTTTCTTGATAAGCTTACACGAGGTTGATAAATATATTTATTTTCGGCTAACGTTTCGACGTCTTCGTCTTCCTCAGAGCCGGTGATCCGAGCCGATGGTCCCTGCTTGTTGTTCGCCTCGACGTTGCGTCTTCGCCTTCGTGTCGGGCCAGATCTTCCTCAGTGAGCCATCTTCTCGAATGAGGCATCCTCACTCAGTGATGCCCTTTTATACACGATGCTGATGGTGGATATATAATGACAATGTCCGGTGGTAACAACTTGTATTTCTTCCGGACATACATCATTGCGCACATCGTGCAGAGGTCGGTGTATTATCAGCTAGCACAAAGCGTAGTAATATTTCGAAACCGACCTTCCCTAAACCTCGGTGTGATTAATCAATATGTATTCTTTCTTGAAGGTGATGATGTATGTCCGGAAGAAATACAAGTTGTTACCACCGGACATTGTCATTATATATCCACCATCAGCATCGTGTATAAAAGGGCATCACTGAGTGAGGATGCCTCATTCGAGAAGATGGCTCACTGAGGAAGATCTGGCTCGACACGAAGGCGAAGACGCAACGTCGAGGCGAACAACAAGCAGGGACCATCGACTCGGATCACCAGCTCTGAGGAAGACGAAGACGTCGAAACGTTAGCCGAAAATAAATATATTTATCAACCTCGTGTAAGCTTATCAAGAAAGAATACATATTGATCTTCCATAAATCTACGATTCTTAACTCCTGAAATGCACTGATGATCGCCGCTAGACTGTGTAGTATTGTTGCAGTTTAAAAGGTTGGTTCTAATAAGCAATGGAGGACTTTATGCGATTCTATTCAGAATTTTTGAATAATGCCGACGTTTGTTAAGAGATTGATGATAATGTAGCCGATATTATTTGAGCACCGTTCACTGTTAATATTGACATCTACTGAAGAGTAAGTGGTTCTTGGAACTGTATTTGCGTTGAGATTGCTCATGGTGATTTGCTGGAAGTGTGGTATAATTTCGATAACCTATGTTGCTCTCCGTTTCACGCGCAGGTTTAATGAGACTGGCAATGTGGTTGAGTATATCATTTGTGACCAAACTCAGTCAATTTCGTGTACTTGTTAAAATGACTACGTTCTTGCACGCATAAGATTGGGATGCGCTCCTTTTTTTATTATAATCTGGTATTTTAGTTTACAGCAAATCAAATTAGTTGTGATATGTTGAGGAACGTTGTTCTGTTCGTTTAGGTACAAAAAAACTCAAGGATTGTTGTGGAAAGAGACTGCGATAAGCAATGCTGAATGGACAGGCGTCAGACTGAAGGTGCCATGATTTTCTCAAGTTGAACCTCTTAGTGTTAAGACTGCACTGAAACTTTTCATGTGTAATTGGGTAACGTCGAACTCTTGTTATTGATTATTGATATACTACTTTTTAGGATTTACTGTTATTGGCTGGTGTTGATCCAAATGATCAAAGAATCAAGCATGTCCATTTAGAAGGAGCAGATGTCGATGATACAGGTATAAAATTGCCGATAGCTCATTTTGAAGCAAACCATTATTCTAAGGTCAGCCTTATGGAGCATCGATCACTTTTGAGAAGGCAATGAGTCCTGAGACCATTATTGCATACAGCATGAATGGAACTGATATCCCTCCTGACCATGGTGCTCCGTTGAGGTGTGTGGTGCCGGGTAAGTTTTTTGAAGTTGTCTTGTAGAGTACCGTATTACCTTGGGTGACCATTAAAAAGTCGATTTACATTGTGCATCTTTGTTTGTTCTGAATGACATCACAGTTGAATCCCTGCCTCATTGGCAATTATGGTTAGTGATTATGCATTTTTTTGAAAGCTTTCTGATTATCTATAAATCCAGTTTCCAGGAGTTGTTGGCGCTCGTCAAGTTAAATGGTTGAAGACTATACGTCTCAGCGAAGTTGAAAGTCCTAGTCACTGGCAACAAAAGGATTACAGGCAAGTTTTGAGTTGCAAATGTGAATTTGTGTTCGATTGTGCAACATTACATTCCTTCTGGATTTTGAAATTTGACATGTAAACGTTGTTGATATTCTATTATTCATTAGTATGGTTTTAGTTTAGGGCATTTTCTCCTGGAGTTGATTTTGGTGACAAGCTGGATTGGAAATCTGTGCCAGCAATTCAAGAATATCCCATACAGAGTGCTTTTTGCATTCCAGCTCCCGGTACAAAAGTTGAAAGAGGTAAGAGTAATTTACTTCCTTGACAAACCGTTTGTGCGACGGAAGGAAAAAGTAAGTATCGTCATTTACAACGTATGTATAAAATAATTGTGACCATGTATGATCGTTATATACTTGTGTCTGCATATGTATGCATTTGTAAATCCGAATCACTTTCAAGGCATTACCAGTGGTCTTAATAACGATATCGGTAATTGGCATGAAATCTCTTGGTTAAGTATTCCACTGGTTTTTATCTCTATGTCACACTGCTTTGAAGTGTTTTGTTAATGTATTTTAGAAGGGCTGTGCTAAAAAGCATAAAAAGGTGGTTAAGGTTTTACTAAGTCAGTAAAAGAGCGTGGTTTTAGATAAACGTTCTTCACTTCATAGAAATATGCATGAAGGGACTCTTTTACAGGGAGGAAAACCTTCGAAAATAGTTCGCTGGTTTGCTATAATCACATTTAAAATGAACCTTTGTTCTAGATTCGATAGTGACTCAATGAGAACCATTGGTCCTTGATAATTAGAAGAAATACGTATTGAGAGAAACATAAAGGCAATAAATAAGAAGTGCTGGTCCATGACAAGTACAAACAGGAGTGACAAACACACTACTAAAGCATCGAATAGGAGAGTGCAGAGAAATATAGGAGAACAGGAGAAAGGTTTGGTTTGCTTGAAAAGAGAAAATGTAGAGAAAGGTAGATAGAAAGATAAAGATGCAAGGAACAAAGCAGAAAGGTTAAGAGGGGAAGAAAAACAAACACTGATAGGGTTAATAAGTCAAAATCAGTGGAAGTTGTTAACGAATAGCAGTTACTTGATACCACTTAACATAGAGAGAAATTGTCATGTTAACTGTTATCCAAATGTGTTGGGAAGATATTTTTGCCTACTCCGCGTTATTGAGAAATAATCGGAATTTTTGAAATTATGTAACAGTCGGTGTACCTTAATGGTAACTTTCGACTTCTGTTGGATAAGATTGTTGGGTAATTTCGTCATAAAACACTTCTCTAAAGGTCCCTTAGACCTCATCCGTTCTTGCACATTAGCCCCAGCCGACTTTAAACTGCTTATTACAGCAGAAGGAACCATTGATGTTGCTGGTTATGCGTGGAGTGGTGGTGGTCGAGGTATCATTCGAGTCGAAGTGAGCGCCGACGACGGTAAAACGTGGCAAAGTGCTGAATTAGAACAAGATCCACAGCAAGATCTAGTACGTAGAAAAACAATGTAATCCATACTACTTCGGAGTAGCGTATCCAGTTTTTGCTCTTTGCAATTTATTTTCTGTTTCTTTCCTAACCTCGCTCAGGATCATATGTGGGCATGGACGTTTTTTCGCACTAGTATCACGATTCCAGATGGAGTCGACAAAGTTGAACTAGTGGTGAAAGCGACAGACCGGTAACGTCTTATCTAATTTTACATTTACTTTCTGCTAATCAGCATTTTTTCCATTGTTTTAAATGGATAGCTAATTATATGATATGGTTTTTAATGCTGCGAAAGGGCATACTTTTTCAGAGCTTACAACACGCAACCAGAAACACCAGCTGGGATTTGGAATTTGAGAGGCTTGCTTAATAACGCATGGCACAGAGTGGAGGTGAAAATTATTGATTGAATTGCGAAAGCATATGTTACTTGCTGTTTTCCACTGTGCCATGGTTCTGGTGGAGAGAGTACGTTCGGAAAGACTGATTGTGAAACTTTCCTATAGAGGCTAAAAAGTTGATTTTTCAACCACGAGTGTTTTCACCTATTACGTTTCATATCTTCATAGTTGTCTAGTCTTCATCGCTGCTCTATTAGAGGTTTAGCTTAAGGAACTTGACTTGAAAACCTGAACTCCTTAACCCCCTCCTCCTCCTTCCTTGACTTGGAACCTGAACTTGAATTTAATGTGATAAAGTATCGATAATAGCGAAGTATTTCTGTGATATGAGCGAGATTTGTGTTCAGAGTCATACCTGTTAATAAACATCTGAGCGAATTTGAAGGAATTTTTGCAATTTTTTTCTTTCTTTATGAGATCTTCGTTTCATTTGTGCGAGACAAAGCGAGCGAAGGTCTGCCGATGTGAAATTTCCCGATTAATTAAGATATTTGTTTTCAAACAGACCTTCATTTAACTTCGGTAGCAAAATAAGATATTTGTCCTGTTTTTGTGTACACAAACCGAGGTCACATTTGGAAAGAAATCTTCAAAACTGTCAACCGTATGTTTTTAACGTGATCAGAGTGCGAGTGATATTTAAAGAACCGGTTATATATAAGTCCCTTGTTTACCGCTCGATTGTTTTTTTCATTTTCTCTAATGCTTGTTATGCCGTTTGGAAATATCTCCACAGACTCCATTCATTTAGTATAATCTTCACAATTAGAGAACAGATAAGTGTCTATGTGTTCTCGTTTTTTTTTATGTAACCCGTTATCACATCTACTGTGCAGATCCCAGCACTTCTTGCGTTGATTCGTTTTCCTCGTATTCATCATCCACAATGGTCCTCAACATTTTGCGTGTTGTTTCAGCTGTTGCTTGAGGATTTCCTCTTCTTTATGAATGTGGAGTGCTGATCTAGTCGATTCTCCTTGCAGTGTTGGAGATGGTAGAGCTAAGGCTTTCCCACGTTGATTGGAGGAGAGCGTCGGGTTAGGGTCGAACTAGCGCCTTTGCTTGCTGATCGACGGTGCCACTAACCACTGCGCTATACGCGCTCCGTGTCTATGTATACTTGATACTTGATATCTGGATGGCTTATTTTCACTGGTTCTACGGGCTTCAGCTTAATTTACATTTGTTTGTTTAGCCGTTGTGGCTCACTGGAGTCCCGAGGTCAGCCTGGCCAAAGTCTGCCCTGGCCGTCACCACCCCATGCAGTCGCCGCCCTCGTCGATCAGAGGGAGATTTGCCACGATTAGACTAGTGTGGTACCAGAACGGTGAGTGGATTCTGGTGTTGGTTTACTCTTAGCTGGGCTTACCAATCGAGCACCGGACTCCTCAACTCGAAAGATTCTGCTGGATGGATGAATCCACCGCTGTACATCGCAGCCAACATCCAGGAACATCTCCCAGCCACGATGAAGTGGTAAACCGTTTAGAAGTGTCTATGTGTGGTTTTAATTATTCTCAGAAACTGGAAACCATAAGTGTTATGCACAGCACTTCTCGATCATATTGTTCATGTATATTATTGTATTATTATATATTATTATATTCATGTATATTCGCTATGTTGTATTCTATTCATATTGAATATTTATTTTTCACGTTATACAAGTCGTCCACGTATACTGTGCGGATCTGAACACGTCTCACATTCAGTTCCTTCATCCTCGCATCCTTCAACCACTTAGGTCGCCCAACTTTTATGTTTGGCTTCGGCTGCTGCTTGAATATTTTTATTTCATCTTCAACGTTGTAGAATGTTAGTCCAGTCGATTCTCCGTGGAGTCCTAAGATAGCCGAGCAAGGGCGTTCCCACTTGGGTTGCAGAGAGTGATTTTTCCCGCATAAGTCGTACCCATTTCTCGACCCCGAAGGGATAAGAGGCTTGATGGACCAGAATAGGGGTCAAACCAGCTCCTTGTGATGATCGGCATCACTACCATACTATCCGCTTTTCATATTGAATATTGGGAAATCTGTTAGATGTACCATGTTAATCTTTTGTTTTCTGCCTGCTATAATTTTTCACGGTAGTGTATGGTGTGTATTACAAGTCCTTAGCTTAACTGGGTTCAATGCCGATTTGTGCCCTCTAAATCAATCCCGCTGACGGGTGGGTGCTGATGGCAGCGTTAGGTAGAAAACCAGCTAAGAGAAGCGCAGAGCAAGGGCCTCCATAGCGCAGTGTCCAGTGCGCGAGCTCCCAGATAGGGAAATCTTGGTTTGATCTAGTCCGGCGTCCAAGTTTTGCGAATATTAGATTTATCGTTACGCGGAAAACTTAACACGTGAGCCATACTATGCATTAGTAGCAATGTATATGGAATGAAGATAGTGGGCCATATGGGTCGACTGAATTGCGCGTTGTTTCAGGCTATTTTCTTTGCCACAAAAGATCATTTGCTATACGTTTCGCATTTGATCGATAGCTTCTTTAACACATGTTGTACCAGATGTTGTCAGTAAGATTCTTACTCTCTACAATTAATAATTTCCAAGAAAAAAAAAAACGGAATAGTTTCAATGTATACGACTAGCGACGAGAATTTATGGGTCGTCCGAAAATGCTGTTAAACGAAATGTGGAGCCCCTGCTGACGGGTGATTGCTGAGGCAAAGATTGATAGAACTAGCTGAGAGACAGGCGAAACGAACGACCCGCATGGTGTGGTGGTGAATGTGTTATTTCTGGGAAAGGACAATAGGGCGTTCGTTCCTCACCGCATACACTTGCGGTCCGGAGTTTTGCAAATATCTCAGCATTATTGAAGAAATATGGAGCTTTCGCTTGTTTTAAAACCAAACTTGGATCTTACCTTAAAAACGATTAGCGAGTTGCATCTATTTGTAAATCCGTCAGTAATGTCTGAAATTGAAATGCAAACTCAAAAGACTGATTTTCTTCGTATTTTTGTTGAGCAAACGCGAGGTGTTACTATTCTTTGTTCACGATTAAGCTGACGTTTCGGCGGATTTCGCCTTCTTCAGAGCCTGGAAAGGTCAAGTTGATAGCAATCCACTCGGCCAGACGCCTCCATAACCAAACAAAGAAACTCTAAACCGAGATTTCAATCACATTGAACACAGCTTTGCACACTCACCGCTTTCTATGAGGCTTCCTATGAGGTATGTCACGTAGAGACCAACCGCACAGAAATCACATGGAACTTTTTTTTTTTTTTCATATCAGAAAAGCAGTTTTATATACTGCCCTATATCACGCGTGATAATGAGGCATTCTTCCCTGCG